CCATGACCTTTACGTACTGCTTGTATTATTTCGCCCATTATTATATTAAAGAGAAGTGGGCTCAACGAGTCACCCTGTCTAACTCCGCTTTTTACTGTGTATACACTGTGTTAGTTTTCCATTTATCTTGAATACAGGCAAAGAAATACATACATACTAGATATGCTGGTTTATTGTACTCGATGGTCTTTTCTGTGATTTGTCTTAGTACAAATACGGCGTCTACGCAGGATCTTCCAGATCTGAATCCTTGTTGTTCATTTGATAAAGTTGTTAGTTTATTGATTTTATTGGTTAGGACTCCAGGACTCCAGGACTTTTGTGGTAAGTTTAAAAGTGGTGTTCAGTAGATTTATACCTCTATAATTGTTGGGTTCTTCTTTATCTCCTTTCTTGAACATTGGTATCATTTTGCAGTTTCTCCATGCGTCTGGTATCTTGCAGTGCAATATTAGTTTTTGTATAAGTTTTGTCATCTCTAGGGTTATACTTTCTCTTCCGTATTTTAGAAGCTCGTTGGTTATTCCGTCTGATCCTGGTGACTTTCTATTTTTGAGCGAATTTATGGCTATTTCTATCTATCTATCTATCTAATTAGCCTTCTTCGGTCCATCTTTGGACATAAGCCTCCCCAATCCTTTTCCATTCTTGATATCATGTGCTTGATCCACGTGCTTCTTGATATCATCTGCCCATCTCATTTGGGGCTTTCCTCTGCTTCGTTTATGTTTATATTCCCACGGTCTCCAACTTATAAGAATTTTGTTCCATCGGTCTTCTTTTTGTCTTATATTGTATCCGGCAAATCTCCATTTCAATTTTGCAACTTCTTATCTAACATCCCTCACTTTTGTTTTCTCTCTTATCCACTCGTTTCTCTTCTTATCCATTAGTCTTATGTGCAACATTTGTCTTTCCATTGCTCTTTGGGTTTTTATGATTTTGTCCATGTTTGCCTTTGTATATGTCCACGTTTGGGAACTATAAGTAAGAACAGGGAGTACGCATTGATTATATACTTTGGTCTTAAGATGCTGTGGATATCTTTTGTTTTTAAGAATGTAGCTTAGTTTGCCAAATGCCACCCATGCCAGTCTAACTCGTCTCTTGATCTCTGCTGTTTGGTTCTCTTTGTTAAGTTTTATAGTTTGACCAAGATATATATAATCCTTAACTTGTTCTATTTCATCTTGTTCGATTCTCATTGTGATGTCTTCATCTGTATTTGTTATAGTTTTGGTCTTGCTGTAATTCATATTAAGGCCTATCTTTTCAGCTTCTACGTCCAGTTCTTTCATTATTTCAAATAATTCTTCTTTTTTATTGGTTATCAATACGATGTCATCGCGTACCTTAGATGGTTCAAGCGTTGTCCACAAATTTTTATACCTTTTTTTTCCCATTCTAATCTTTTGAAAGTATCTTCAAGAGCCTGATTGAAAAGTTTCGGTGATATTGTATCACCCTGTTTCACGCCTCTACTTATTTGTAATGATTTTGTTCCTTCATATACTTTAATTGTTGTTTTGGCTTCCTTCTATATATTGGTTATTAGTTCCGTATATCTGTGGTCAATTCTGCTGTTAATCAAAGAACCTTTCACTGCTCAATGTTCGACACTGTCGAAAGCCTTTTTAAAATCTATGAACGCCATATATAGAGGAATGTGGTATTCATTTGCTCGTTCTATAAGTATTTTCATACTTAGTAAATGGTCACTTGTGCTGAATCCCTTTCTAAAACCAGCTTGTTCTTTCGACTGGTATTCATCGAATTTTGTCGTCAATCTATTGGTTAAAATTTTTGTTAGGAGTTTATACATTACATTGAGGAGTGTTATAGGACGGTAGTTTGTTATATCTGCTTTATCCCCTTTATTGTGTAGGATAATGGTTACTGATTCCTTCCAGTTGTTTGGGATTCTTTTTTCTTTTAATATCTTGTTAAAAAGGGAATGTAGAGTATTAATTAACACTTTTCCACCATATTTCAGCATCTCTGCAGTTATTCCATCTTTTCCAGGCGATTTGTTGTTTTTCATTTCTTTCAATGCCTTCTTTATTTCTGATTTGCTTATTTCGGGCTGCCGCTCTGAGTTGACATTTTTTATTTTGACCTTAAGCTAGTTTTTAATTTCTTCTGGTAGTTCCTTTTTTGTTTTATATAATTCTGAGTAGAAATGGTGGATTATATTTATGATGTCATTTTTAACGTTTGTTTCTATTCCATTTACATCTTTTATTTTGTTTATTTCAAACTTACCTAATTTCGGCCTTAAGCATTTCATATTTTTGTTGTTTTGTATTACTTCTTCTATTTTTATTTCTTGTTCTTTTCTCTTATTTTCTTTTATCATTCTGCTTATTGTTTTATTAATTTCTACATATTATATAGATTTCCTTTTGCCTTCTTCGTTCAGCTTCCTTCTTTTATCCATAAGCTTCTTTGTTTCTGTTGATATATAGTTGTTCTTTTTTAGATCCTTCTTGGCTATTTCTTTTCCTGATATAATCATTGTTGCTGTATGTTGTCTATTTCGTCTATATCTTTATCGTCACTGTCTAATCTTTAGGTAAGTTGTTCTTTTAAACTAGGGCAATATAAAGAGATATACAAAGACCTATTAAAAAAAAATTAAAAGATAGCTATTTCTACTTCCTAAAAAATGATTTCTATTTCGTGTTTTAATTCAGGTACGTTATTGTGTTGATTATTATTTTCCTTTGCTTTAAACAGTTCCGTTAGGTATATTTTCTATTCGTTTCCTGGAATGTTATTGTATTCCTTCAACTCTGCCATTTCTTTCCATTGGTTTCTTATAAATCTCCATATTTGTTTTTGTGTACCGCAAAAGTCGCTTTCCATCATTTTTGTAAACTGTTCCCAGTGTTCGTTTTTTGTTCTTCTTACCAACTGCTTTGTTTCATTTGATCATCGCCATTATGATGTTTTGTACTTCGTAGGTTTCTCGTTGCTCTTTATATTTCTCTTTTATTTCTTTTCTGAATCATGGTGTATTGTTGTTTTTTCTTTTGTTCACTATGACTTTGCGTTTTCCTAGAGCTTCTGTTGCTGCTTCTTCAATGTTGTTTTTAGTTTTCTCCCAGCTCGCGTTTATATCTTCGATGTCGTCTATTTGTTTCAGCTGTATCTTCTGTGCTAGCCTCCTTTGGTAGATTTCCTGTAGAAAAGTTTGTTTTGATGTTATTTTCATTCTTATCTTTACTAGTACTAGTTTGTGTTCACTCCCTGCGTCTGCTGAGTTTAAAGTTAGGATAAAAGGTACCAAGACTCAAAGTTTATATTATCCTTCTTCCTCAAATGTTTTTATTTACCTGACTTGTGTCTCCAGGATATAATATCATTTCTTTTCATCTTTATTGAATCTCGATCTCTTTTACCAAATTCAAAACTCATGTCATTTAGTAGCCTACGAAATGTGGTTTTTGGAAAAGCTAGTCCTCATCATCTTTCACTTCTTTATTACGCTGTCGACGGTTGTTGGTTAAAAAAATGTTAAAAAAAAATCATAAACACTTTTCCTTATTCGAGATTTCACTTCCTCATTGTAGGTATTCTCGCGTGAATTGGACTGGAAACTGGGTTTCTTCCTTTTTTGTACTGGTTTCAGTTCGCCTTGCTGGACCTCTTTGCGGATGTCATAAATTTTGCGAACACTTACCGTACATTTTCGAAACTTTTTCCACAGTAATAGTCAACCTATCAGAATTTTTAAGTTCAAACGATAGTTCAATTTATTTACATCACACGTTTAACTTACACACTAATAGTCATACCATGTTTGAAATTCATGACAGATACTGGAAACTGCTCCATGATGTAGGTACTTTACAAATAGCTAGCTTTCACAGTTTTTGCCAACAATTTTTTGGTCTAATGGCCAGTATCCAAATAGATAAGAGACGTTTTCCTTTGCATGGACAATGGGGATTAATGCTCCTCTCGGGGAAATCCGGCAACGTTCTTGGCCATTCCCCTGTAAGAAATAAATTTCCTATCGTACCTGCACTGCATTCTAACTGTGACTTCTACTATAGTGGCACATTGTAGTTACTCTCTTCTAGCACAAAAACCATATCAATGGGTTCCTGATTAAAAAAAGTGCTGACAGTTCAAGTTTTGAGTAAAGTTATAACAATCTAGATAGAATAATAATGTGTGTTTTTTTATTTTTGATTGAATATTTTCATGGTTAACTTAATAAAATTTTATCTAGTTGTTGCAATTAGCGTTTGGCTTAAAGAATTATTAATAACTCACAAATTAAAGCAGAATAAACTACCATAAAATAACACTCCATTAAAATAAAATTAAAGATTTTACTATGTTAATAATATTGGACAATAGTAGACTACAATAAAAATCTTTTGAACATAAATAGATTTTTTTATACCATTCTTTACAATACTTAGGGTATTAGTTTTGTTAAAAAATTATTAAATAAAAAAATCTGAGTATTTTTCAAACTCCCTCGTACGACACTACAAAACCTTATGTTACTAAAACGGAAACATTGAGAAGTCATAAGTCATAAGAGTCAAAAAATGTAAAAATTTGTATTAAAAAAATATAAGTTTGTTCCCCCCTGTTAATATGGGTGATCCTGTAAATTTGAATATTATTATAGGGATATATATTTGTTATTTTAATATTATAACAGGGACCCGGCAGGAACAAGACGGAGAGAAAGGCCTGCTACAAGATGGAAAACCTACATAGAAAATACTACGATAGATAGAGACCCTAGAGAAGGTGACTGGGAAAATAAAGTGCTGTGGAGAACGAAAACGGAGAACTCAGAATGCGAAAAGCCAAACAAGATAAAAAATAAAGCTTTTTAAACTTATCACTTCTAATAATTAACTACATCATACTATTTATAAACACACAGTTTAGGATTTTTCATACATTTTCACACATTTTGTGATTAAATGTGTCATATAAGATTCGAAAGTATATTTGATTTTCCATTTCAAAAAATGGAAATCAATAGTGAAAGTAACGCCGAAATGATTCCACATGAAATTAGTGAAGCTGCTAAAACGGCTACTTATGAATTATTGCCGCTTAAGTCAAGAGAGAGGTATGAATTTAATTGATTAATTAAATTAATATTTCGTAAACTAGTACAAATACTGATACGTCTAATAATACTAATTTCAATAATGCAACTTCTGTTAATATCCCTAATATTATTAATATGAGTTATTGTTATAATTGTGTAATTAATATTCATAAGTAATGCATTCATGAGAAAAGCAATATTGTTATGTTATATGTAATTTATAATAAAAAGATCGTGAGTAATGTATTCATTTAGATTCCTTTAACATAATAAACACCTGCAGAAAAAATATTGTACGTAACACTACTCAAAAGTGATTTTACGAGAAAACTTACTAATATCTTCCTACTCATCCCGTAAAATATCACTTTCGGGCTTACGTAAATTACTATTTCATTGCAATTTAATTTTCATTTGATTTTTTTATTACATACAAACAATAATATTTATTACAATATTTATGAAACTGAAACTTAGCTACTCTTCGTATTTTATTATTTTTGCCTTTTGGAAACATATGTCTTGATATTTTTACCTTTTCTTTCTGATTTCCGCATTAATAAGAATCCATGCTGGAACATTTCTGATTATGCGTGTTTTAAATTGTCACTTTCTTGGTATATATTTTTAATTCGATAATACTCAGTATTCGGTATCATGATTATTCCTATAACGGTGTTATAGAATCTACCATTAAATTTAATTGATCTTTTTGGATCACACAATACCAACTGATTAACATACAATACAAAACAGTTAAATTGTTGTATTTAGTTTAATTCTACATGAACTTTTACCATTATTACGAATTTACGTAGTCTTTCATGAATATCCAAAACATCATCAACAACCAGCACCACAGCTCCCTAAAAAAGTACGTTTGTATAAGTAATAATAAGTAAAAATAAATAAATAGCATTGCTCAAACCATTGTCAAAATCGGAAGTTTTTATGAATGTTTGTCGTAAAGAAGATCTAAAATAATTATAATTATAGATACTCTTTTTCTTCTTCTTCTACTTTATAAGCAATTCTGCTTGTTCATTGGTGAAATAATATCATTGTTTGCGCGGTATCCGATACTTCTTCCGCCAATTGGTGACTTATCTCTTACTATTTTGACGACACGGGTCTCCTCCATTCTGCTTATGTGGTTATTCCATTCTTTTTTTTATTTTGTATCCACTCATTTATACAATTTACGTTACATTTTCTTCTAATATCTTCACTTCTCAGCGTATTTCCTGTAATTCTTCTCAGTACTCTTATATCTGCCTTTTCCAGTAGCCTTTGCGTTGTGGCTGTGTCGGGTCTTGTCTCCGAGGCATATGTCACTATTGGTCTTACACTGGCTTTAAAAATTCTTGACCTCCTGCCAGTCTATTTGCGTTTTGTACTTGATCTGTCACTTCTTTGTCCAGGTATCCATAGCTAAACAGTGTAATTCCCAGGTATTTTATTTCTATTACTTGTTCTGTCCAATACTGATGCCATCAATTTTTATTTTACATCTGGTAGGTTCATTTCTGGCTACTATTGTTTTAGTTTTCTGAGATGAAATTGTCATATTAAATTCTTGTGCTCTTATGTTAAATCTGTGAACCAGTCTTTGCAGACTATCTTCATCTTGGGCTATCAATATTGCATCATCTGCGTAACAGAGTATATTGATTTTTTTGTTTACCATTCTGTATCCTCTTTATTTATTAACGGTTTTGATGATTTCATCCATAGATCATGAGGCCCAATGAATGCCCTTGTCTTATTCCGCTGCTTCTTTCTATAGGTTCTGTATGTTGTCCATCCATTCTGACTTTAGGGGATAGTTAAGGGGGTCTCTGATAGTTAATATTTAGGGGAACTTCTCTATTATACAGAAGACGGATTACATCTTTGAGTCTTACTCTGTCAAAAGCTTTTTTTAGGTCAATCTGGTCTATTATCTCTAGTGATTTCTCAGTAATTTGCTTTATAACGAATATTGCATCTGTGCACGATTTTCTTCTACAACGAAAACCCTGTTGTTCATTTGCTAAACTTATCTTCTGATTTATTAGCACTTGTAAAATTTTAGTTGTATGTTTTAGCGTAGTATTTAACAAGTTTATACCTCTGTAGTTTTCTGGCTGGTTTTATCTCTTTTTTTTTTAATAGTAGAATTAGTTCGCTCGTTCTCTAGTCTTCCGGTATTTTATTGTGTTTTATAATTTTATTAATTAATGTTGTTAATTGTTCTGTCATTTCTGCTCCACAATAATTCAATAACTCGTTTGGTATTCCGTCTTTACCTGCTGCTTTTTTTTATAGATTTGTAGGTATTATCTTAGGAATAAGACAAGGGCATTCATTGAGCCTCATGATCCATGGATGAAATCATCAAAATACTTGCGGAATGAACACAAGCATACACACATCCATACATAAGAAAAAAAAACAGGAAAAAATGTGAGCACTACAGAGAAATTAGTATAATATCGTCGGTAGGTAGACTTTACGGGAAAATTGTCAAGGAAAAACTAGAAACTGAAATAATAGGAAAAATTGGAGAAGACCAAGCAGGGTTCACAGTAGGAAAATCATGCCTAGATCATACGTACACATTAGAACAACTGATAGAGAAGAAAATGGCAAAAAGTAGACCGGTCCATCTGGCGTTTGTTGATCTAAAGAAAGCATACGACTCAATACCTAGAGTCAAATTATGGGAAGCAATGAATGATCTCGGAATCCGACAAACACTAATAAAAGCAGTTAAAGCACTGTACAAAGAAAACACAGTAGCCATTAAATGTGAAAATAAAGCCTACAATCCATTTAAGACGACAAAAGGACTTCTACATGGCTGTGCTACGTCCCCTACTCTGTTTAAAATATTCTTGGAAAAGACACTCAAACCATGGAGGAGAAAGTGCGAAGGAATGGGCATACCAGTAAGAGACGAATACCTATACACCTTAAGTTTTGCCGACGATCAAGTAGTCATCGCACAAGATGAAGAAGATCTCAGCTTTATGCTCAGAAAACTAGAAGATAAATATAAAAACAACGGAATGGAAATAAACTTAGAGAAAACTGAATACCTAACAACAGAAAACAAGGATATGAGAAACCTAGAGATAGACGAGGGAAGACAAGTAAATGGAACAGATAAATTCAAGTATTTAGGAACCATTATATCGAACTAGGGAACAACAAAAGAAGATATAAACAACAGACTAAGACAAACAAGAAACTGTATAAGACAACTAAATTCAGTGCTGTGGGATAAGAACATTACGATAAAGACAAAAAAGAGAATATATAATACCCTGACAAGAAGTATTCTGACATATGGGTCCGAAAACTGGACAATAAACAAGAGAAATAGAGGTAGAATAAGAGCAGTAGAAATGGAGTACATGAGGAGAAGCTGTAGACTTACAAAAAGAGACAGAATTGAAAACGCAGAGATTAAGCGGAGAATGGGAGTGCAATCAGACATAATCGACTATATAGAGGAGAAGGGACTATCCTGGTACGGCCACGTCAAAAGAGCGGACAGAGGACGCTGGATAAACAAAATCACAGAATGGAGCCCGATCGGAAAAAGAAAGAGAGGAAGACCCGAAGGTCATTCAGAGACGAAATCGACGAGGCTATGGAGAAAAGAATCCTGCGAGATGGAGACTGGAATGACAGGGAAAATTGGAGAAAACGGTTGAGTGAAGGAAGACAGTGAAAACTGTGGAAATCCTTAGTAGTAGTAGTAGGTATTATATGTCATATCTTCGATATTTTTAACAGTTTTAAAATATCATCGGAGAAGGAAATATTACAATTAATTAATTATTTTGTGTACAATTTTGCATAGTTCCAATTAATTAAATTACTAGTATTATCTATTTTATCTGAAATTTGTACTGAAAATTTTCGCTTCTATATATCACTCCGTCTACATATATTTTTAAGTGTTTAGTGCTATTAAAATTGATCTATCCAATAAATATCCAGTCTAGACAAAAAATAAATATTTAATAGCATGCAAAGTAAAAATAATAATAATTTATCGGTGTAGATTGTATAATCCCGCTTCCGGGAAATAAATTATTGTGCTTGAAAAACAATAGAAAAGTTGCTATAACACTACCTATTGGCACGATAGATACATCTGTTTAAACTGTTTAATACTATTAGACTATTAAATTTCTTTTTATAATTGGAAAGTCGACTAACTCTCGTGCTATTATTATTGAGTAAGTTAACAAATGTGAGTACGTAATTATGTACGTCTATGATGTTCCTTCCGTTTTGCATGCTTCAAAGATGACATTATTATTTTAGGTTTTTGTTAATCAAAGATATTTAGGAAGTAATTATTATTAATAACAAATTAAAAGGGAAAATTACAGTGATTTGCTGTATACCGTAGTTTGAAAAAGCTTTCAATGAAGTTAGTGGAAGATGATCAAGATATTAGGATGGCGGTCTTACTGTTGCTTTCTGTACATACGATTATTTTATTTTACATATATAGCCATCAAAAAGAAAGAAGAATGTCTGTGTTAAATCTAGAACTCGCTGGTTTTCTCCCTTTTTTCATTGGGTATTTATATTACCACAGAAAAAAAAGCAAGAGGAATATAATTATGGGACTATATTTTTTAAACAGTAAAATCAATATAAAAATTATATATACATAAAGATTACATAAATCAAAAATATCTACAAATTAAAATTTGATGGTAAAAATACAAAAAGTAGTTATTCATACAAATTTCTCTATAAAGGTGAATGAATTAAAGTAAAAACAAAGCTGTTTTGAAAACTAAATATTATGAGATGAATTGTGGATAATAATTACCAAAGCGATCGGCAACTTTAACGAAAGACACTCATTTCACTATGCTTTATTGTTAAGATACAATATTTGTATAAATAATCCAATAAATTGCAACATTGCATAGCAACCGTTTATTTTTTAATAGCGTTTGTATTTTTTTACCCAAAATCTTAGATAAATATACAAGGAGAATCAAAACTAACAAAAATTCTGTGAATATTTAAGCAATGGTTATCTAAAGTTGTGAAACTGTAACACTTACTACCAGTTAGAGCGGAATTAGCAATTTAATACATTAAAGTTCGAAGGACCACCCACTGATGTGGGAAAATAAGGATAATTTAAGGTGCGAGTGTTATTTTTAATACCTCCGAGGTTCTTTATTACATCTGAGGTGCCTTCACCACCAGCCGTACTCTAGTAGATGTTTATTAGTTTCACAAATGTTATGTCCTAGTTTATTTCTTTTCCGTATTTTATAACTCAGGTTTGAAGGATTTGTTTTAGAATTAAAGAATTTAGAATTAATTTTTTGGTCCCAGAAATATAAGATTCATTTTATATTTTTCCTAGATATATAATTCTCAGTCTTTCATGATATTATAAATATATACTTTTGTGGCAAAAATACCACGTATATTTGGGCTTAATAGGTTATAAACAAATAACATAATTACCGCAGAAACAGAATCACTTGGAGAGAGGAAAGTAACGAATACTAACATATCAAAAAAGGAAATCACTATGGTTTAAAGAGAAAGTGAAGACAAAATTTGAAGCAAAGAAGTGAGTGTTTTTACAATACAGAATACAACAAACACAACAGGCATACAACCACTTTAAACGAATTAGAAACAAAACGAATAATTTAGTTGGACAAATAAAAAGGGAACACTGACAGAGCTCCTCAAAACAGATGGACAAGACTTCTGCGGAACCCGGACAGAAATATGGAGAATGATCAGAGTACTCAGAAAAGAGATGAATGAACTAATAAAAATAAAACACTCAAAGGGAAACATAGGCAAAGTACTTTCGATCCCTATTTGCCAAAGGTGACGATAATGAACCACATACACCAGAGGTGACGGAAAACGAGTAAATAAATTTTGAGGAGGAAGAGGTCAAGGAAACATCATGGAAATTAAAAAAAAAGAAAATGTCCAGGATAGAACAGAATACCAAATGAACTCCTAAAGTTCACAGAACCAAATCTGACCTAACAACTACTAAAACTAATCCAAAAAATAAAAACAAGACCAAAAGAACAAAACCGAATTTCGCAAGAATGGAGATCAAGTATCATAAAACCTCTCTTTAAAAAGGGAGACAAGTCGAACCAGAAAAATTACAGGGGAATTAATTTATAAAACACAATACTATTATTAACAACCAAAGTGATAACAAATAAACTTAATGAAAAAATCCGTAAAATAGTTTCGAGACACCTATGAATAACTGTTCTGATGAGACCTATTAGGTCGAAATACGTATCAACAGATACATAGGCGCTTTTTGCGTAAAATCAAATATTGGCTGTCTTTTTCATTTTAAAGGCAAGTGCAGAGGAAATCATTAGAATACAACAAATCGTCATGTTCATGTTTCGTGGACCGGAAGAAAACATTTGACCGGATCAAATTAAAGGACGTTATCCACTTACCTATTGTACGTAAGAGAGATACCTTTAGGGTTAAGGGATCAAAACGATCGAAAATATCTACCAAAACAACACAACAAATATAGAAGAAGAACTAACTGACTATATTGAAGCTGGCAATGAAATAAGATTGGGAGACAATATGGGTCTTAGATACCTGAGTCCTCTATTATTTAATCTGATTATATATGAAATAATAAAAAAAAGTCAGAGCTAAAAAAGAATACCAAATGGGAGAAAAATAACTTAAAATAATCTGTTATACAGACGACGCAATATTACTCTCTCAAAGTGAAGATGATTTACAACGTATGCTACACCAATTTAATCTAACCGGAAAAAAATTTAGCATGTTAATTTCCTTAAAAAAGACAAAATGCATGGTTCTAACAGCAAATTTAATAAGATGAAAATTGGAGCTGAAAGGTCCGATAGAACAAGTGAAGGAGTTTAAATATTTGGGCAGTACATTCTCTAGCTACGGATAGCTGTAAACGGAAGTTGAAGATCAAATGAATAAAGCAAACAAAGCCGCAAGTTACCTGAATGAAACAATATAGAGAAATAAAACTATGGTGAAAAAATGTAAGGCAGATTTACAAAACAGTGATCAGACCAATAATGACATACGTGACAAAACACGACCTAATACAGAGAGGACAAAAACAATGTTAGAAACAGCAGAGGTTAAAACAGAAAACTTGATGTTGAAACACTAGGGGCCAGATTCTGAAGTACAGATATACACCGTAGATGTAAGGTGGATAACATCAAGGACTAGGTAAGAAATAGAAGAGTAGAATCGAATGATCATATAAGCCAAATGATAACAAATATAGAAGTAAACAAACATTAAAAAACATGGTCATATCTACAAAAAAAAGAGGAAGAAGAATAGAATAGAATGGAATAAATATAACGGATATTCTAATCTATAAAAAGATGTAAATGCAAAATAAAAACATTTCCACTTATGAGAGCCCTGAAAACATTTACATTGAACGTTTTTCATTCGCACGATACTTAATTTAAATAATAATTTATAACTAGATCATTTGTGATCTTATTCATTTTATTTTTGTTTCAGATTCACAAACAAATGAGTTTGGAAGAAATTAAACATACCTTTCACGTCGACCATCATGACCTTGGTAAGTAATGCACGAATCGTTACTCAATTTGCCATTTTTAGAGAGTAACATGAAAATTTGGTAATACATTAGGGTGTATCGCATCAAACTTATATAAGGCGGTCTACACCGATCTGGTTTAAACAAAGTTAAACGAAATGAGGTGATGGCCAAGGTTTGAACCTTGCAATTTTAGTGAAATTAGACGAAAGTGATTCATTTACCTTGACTATGCGATTTATTTAAACTTGGTGTCGTTATATTAATAGCTTCTTTTATTTTAGTTTATTAAGTTGTATGTCAATTTTGAAATATGATTTATTATTATATTTTATGGTATTAATTTAATATAAAAAATACAAATATTTGTTATTTGACGCAGTTTGATAAAAATATTTTACTCCAGTATATGATCCGTTTGGAGTGTAGTTTTTCTCGTCCCACGGACATGCTTAAAAATTTGGGTTTAGGTTCCTCTTACCCTCTACTTCTCTTTTAAACTCAAGCCCAGGGTATCTTTGCTTTGAGGGATGAAAGCCACCCATTCTCCTCAGGTTTGAAAAAACATACGATCAAAGTAAGTCAGGAAATAGAAAAATGGACTAATTCCACGCAACTTTCATTATATAGAGTTTTTTACGTCAATACTTTTTGAGTTAATTCCGAGTACAAATGTTCATTTTTCCAAATAAAGGCCAAGTTTTCGGACAGTTCTTCAAAAATAACTCAAAAAGTAAGTATTTATCGAAAAGAATATTCCTAGCAAAAATGTAGCCTATACAAAAAATGGTGTAGGTACTTATGAAGTTTGTAGACCTAGTAGAAGTAGAGCTGTAGCTCATGAAAAGTAAGTTCTTATTTGTCAAATTTCAAATCGAATATTTCAAAGTGAAATAACCAAAATATGAAGCACTTTTGGGAGAAAAATCATCAAAACTTTTTTAAAGTGTCTAAAAAAGCTCTATTTTTTAGGTTTCTAGCATCAAAACTAAGCGAGTTTCATTCAAAATAAAGTTGGTCCATTTTTTTTGTAAACAAGTCGTGAAAATCACCACTTAACTAGCACTTCAAATAAAGTTAATCGTTACCGCTCTACAATTTACTTTATTTATATATTGTTTCTTAGAACGATAGTTATACGTACTTAGAACAATACAAGGGAAAGCTTATTAATACGACATAGAACTATATAATATGTATATGGACTTTACACAATCTTTTGATAGTGTGAAGAGTGACAAAATGTTGGAAGACCTCCGAAATCTACGTATACCAAAAAAATTATCAACCTAATAAAAATGACGCTGTAGGGTTCAAAAGCCGCAGTTAAAGTAAATGGAGAACTGTCTTCCCTGCTTGACATCAACATGGGAATGAGACAGGGAGACGCACTTTCAACTATGCTATTCAACCTAGTTCTTAAAGCAGTCATCAGAAAAACCAATAAAACCGGTTATATAAACACCAAAACAGTACAAATTGCTACATATGCAGACGATGTCGCCATTAATAGTAGAAGTAAGACACTTATAATGGAAAACTTCAAGGAAATTGATCCTGAAGCACAAAAAAGAGGGCTAATGACATCATCATCAAAAGAACACCTGAGAATAAAAATAATATAGCAATAGACAACTATACTATTGAACGTGTGGATGCCTTCACATATCTAGCCATAGAAATCAATCAGAAGAATTCCGTAAGTAGCGAAATTAATGCACGTATTTCCAGTGGAAATTGTACATACTATGCTAATAAAAGATTGACGACATCGAAATTATTAGACAACACAACCAAAATGACTATCTACAACTTTGATTAGATCCGTAGTAACCAACGGTTGTGAAACCGGGGTAATAACGAAAATAGAGGAAGCCCAACTTAGGACATTCGAGAGAAAGATACTGAGAAAAGTATATGGCCCGGTGCAAGAGGAAGACGACACATGGAGAATTAGGAGAAACGACAAGGCTAATGAACTGAATGAAGGGTATGACATTGTAAGATTTGTGAAAAGTCAAAGAGTGTTATGGCTGGGACATGTTCAGCAACAAGAAGACACGAAAACGACAACGATGTTACAGCGAAAGCTACTAGGAAGGCGGAAAAAAGAAAGGCCTAGGACTAGATGGTTGAATGACGTGGAAAACGACCTGAAAACCATAAATATATAACAATGGAGGAGAAGGGCCTAAGAGAGATCTAAATGAAAGGTCATAACCAGACAGGCAAAGACCCATCCAGCGTTATGATACCATAAGAAAAAATGTATTGTTTATATTATCTGTAATTTTAACCGGTTTAAAGTGCTTATTTAAAAAAATATATATGCTTTAAAGTAAAAGATACATTTACATACAGAAATTAACAATTTTTTCAAAATAACTTATATTAAATAAAAAGAATTAGTACTACAAAAAATCGTAAGGGACAAAAAAATATAGATTTTATTTTTCTGAATATCTTTTTGTTTTTCTGTACGACAAAAATTAGTTAAGATACGGCTCTTCCAAGATTGCATCCTCTCGTCACTAATGACTCGTTCAATCCCAAGTTGAAATAAAATAAACTCATAACATTTTAATTAAAAAAATATTGTGTTTATAGTTTCAATGAAAAAAAAATACTACAACCATTCGAACTTCTTCACAAGGGGTGGTTTTTATAAGGCTAGAAATGTAGTAAAAAATTAAAACAGTAAATAAAACTTAATTTACTATCACTGCAAAAAGCGACCAAAGAGATAAGTCCAATTTTGATGTGGTGGGTAAGTATAATCTAAATCCAAATTTTCATGCATATCAGTGAAGACAAGGTACTCAACTCAATAAGATTGTTTTGATTATAACTAATCTAGTGGGTGAGATGTAGTAGAGGTTAAACTGTGATAAAATCCTCTCAATCATATTATTTCATGTTATTTGACGTTTATTCACTTCATTAAAAGATGCTTTAATTTACAATTATACGATTTTTTTTTAATAGAGGTAGCTTTAACCCCTAAAAAATAAAAAGCAACCAATGGCACAAATCCAAAAATGAAGTGGAGATTAAGTAGAACCTAAATCCAAATTTTTATGCAATTCGGTAGTGACACGGAAAAAGAATATTAAAAAAATACATTCTAACTAGTTATCTTCTTACACGTTTGGCGATAATTCTGCTTACATCCAACACTCTCATTTTCCATATCACTCATATTTTATCACCACTAATTTCGTTTAGAGTTACATCTTCTTCAGATAGTGACGATTCGCTTGGCTTTCTTTTATTTTTTTTTTGTTTATTTATAGCTTTTGAGCTTTTTTTAATCAGTGCATCCTTCTTCATTTTAATAAAGTCTTTAGAAATAATCTCTCCAGTTATTTTTTTACGAACACTCTTTATTGCTGCTAACAATAGACATAAAAGTGTTACATTGACAAGAACCTTACCGGGAGTTATATCTTCATCAGTACCTAATTGATAATTTGTTTGGGCTACCGTGCAAGGTTATTTTACCGTTAATTAGAGAGAGACCTGGTTGAGGAGGTTCTGATCTAGATGAAAAATTTATTGTTTGTTTCTAATGGGGTGTGTGTCACAAATGCATATTCTGGGATCATTAATGGACTAAAGGGATAAATTCCCGTGCATTTAAATGCAGAAGCCGCATTTTAGACTGTTGCTAACTTTCTCATGCTCGACTTGAACTTACCACAACTGACTTGACAAGAGTTTGCCAAACTTAAGGCGTCTTAGAACTCCGTTTGTGTTGTCATGTACCATAAAACGACATTAAACATAAAAGTTGCTCATACGTGACTTAAAAAATGCACGTTCTAGAGGCTGTAGGTAATGTGTTGTGTGGCATGGTAATCAAAATAATTATTTCGTTTTGGTTTAATATTAATAAATTTTACCTGAAGGTTTTTTCGGCAAAAAGTGTGTTTGTGAGCATTCTAAAAACATTTCACTTTTAACGTATGCTTATTTTTCCAACATCCTAATTTTGGAACGTTGGCAAACTGCCAATATAATATGGGGGCAAGGAAATCCCTTCTGCTTTGCAGCAAGCCATTACACTGATATTTTAATCTTTTTTCCAGGACTAGAACTTGACCGGCTTTAGTATTTAATTGTAATCCTATTTCATCAGTATTAAATATGTGTCCGGGTTTGTCATAAAAATTATATTTGGTCATAATTCTCTCGAGATTAGAAAAGTAGTTATCGACTATTTAGACATTCCTAAAGCTCGAGAAATTGGGGTGTTTGTTCTCAGCTTTTCTAATTGAAATTTCAGCTTTACCTAATAGTTACAAAGTAACTTTTAGGATCAGATTTAATTAAACAATGTACCTTCTTCTACATTAAATTTATTTAATGAACTAAATTCAATGCCATGATTCTTACTTCAATTCTAGTTGGTGCAAAGCCTACTTTTTGCAGTTTTTATAAGGCTAATTATTTTAGGTAAAACCGTTCTTTCTAAAGAACAATTTGGATTCAATCGATTCATCTTATCCATATTGTTTGGTTTTAGTCAACGGCAGCGGTTGAAAGTTGTTTTAGGTATTTCAAATGTTTTGATGGCTTCATTAATACCCATACCATCATTTTCTTTACAGCATCTATAGCATCACTTAACTCACTAGAGATCAAGTAACATAACTCTATTAGTGTATTTTGTTTGCAAATATGTTTATTGGGCATAATCCTAAAACAAAAACATACTGGTCCAACCCTCCACCTCGTAAGTGGTCCACTTATCCTCAAATAGTAGAACACATTGGGCCAGCGCGTATTATCTAAAATAAGCAGACTACAGCAGTAGTTGTTGCCCTATAATACACATTTTAAATATAGTTGAATAATAAACCAACAAGTAATCGGTCAAACTCAATGTGGTGGCAGTTTCAATTATCGTAAATGACACTCCTACAAGTACGCAACGATGCTTTACAATAGAAATCTCTTAATCAACTAACATTAAAAAATACAAACAACAGCGTAGGATAGACTTGCCTTGTTGCCAAGCC